AAAAAAAAGAACCTTTTTGGCAGCAGCACAAATGTACCAACTGCCACGAGCTTCAGGAGCTGTTTGAAGAAACCTGGTGAATTCCACAGGCCTGGAACCAGGATGAATGTAAGTCCACAGAAAGAACGCAGCCCAGGCTTTCACTGTTAATGTTGACTTCGTTCTTCCTCTTGCTTTTCATTCAGATGACTTGGAACATTCTGGATAATGACTGGGGTTTGCAAAGACCCATGTGTGTGCATGGATACACATGCACACACACTTGTGTGCACACACATGTCCACACAAACACGGACTTACCACGTTCATCAGGTTCTCATGGTCCCCACTTTGAGGCCTCGGCTTCTTCTCTCTGAAATGAAAAATAAAAGGTGGCTATACTGATGGAGAGGCACATTAAGTGTAGCATTCTTCCCTTCTACAGTGGAGATCAAGTTCTGATTACTGCTCAATGCATCTCGTGTGCAGCCACCACCTGTTTTATTTTAAAAAACAAAGTTCACTTTGCCACGGAAGGATCAAATAGAAGTCACTTGGTGCTTTAAATGTGGCTGTTTTGTTATATGTCGTTGAGTCAGAACTGACCCACAGCTGACCCTTCAGAGCCTGTAAGGTACATGAGAGGAGACTGCTCATCTTTCTCCTGTGGAGCAGCTGGTGGATTTGAACCATGTGCCTTCATTCTGGCAGCACAACTCCTTACCACTAGGCCCCCAGAGCTCCCTCATCTGTGGGTGTCAGAAATATGAAGTGATCAGGTGACAGCCATAGTGCCTCTCATCTCTTTAGAGCAACCCTTCTTTCAAAAAGAGAAAACTTTTGAAAGAACAAGAGTGAGGCAGGTCCTGTGCAGAAACTGTTTCTATCTAGAATGCTGGGACAAATTATAGCAGATTTTTTTTTCTTCTCCCTTGAGAAAATCCAGACAATTATCTATTATCTTAACTCTGTTCTTTGCAAAGCCAGACACTGTAGTAGAATTGAAAAAATAATGCTAAAGTAAACCAAGCTCTGGTGTGCCAGGAAGGGTACATGCTCTTAGGATGAGTCATCTGTGCTTCCAGTGCCTGGAAAAGTCAGTAGAGTAAAAATAGTTTGTTTTCGCTCTTAGTCTAAAGAAAGCCTTCAGTACTAGACTCCATTACCCGTATTTACAAAGCAAGAGTGACACCTAATGGGAGAGTGAATAATTACAAGGCAGCCCCCGAAACACGGAGCCTGTATCCAAGTATTTTTCTTCATCTTGCCTATTCATCTTTACCTAGTTATGGAAGACTGGGTCCTACCTGTGTGGGCATCAAGAGCTTATGTGGGCTTTTCGGAGAGTCTGACAGTGTCTCTCTCAATAGGTATTTTTAGAGTAAACTTTCAAATGACACTTAGGGAATTTCTTCTGAGGTTCCTAAGGACAGTCTGGAATAGGTCTGGCTAACATTCAGCTTTGTCCATTCCAGCACTTGGCTCTTTGCCCACACTTGCACACACGTGCGTGCGAACACACCCACACACACACACCCACACACACACCCCCACAACAGTTGTTAAATGTCTAAAACATGTCACTATAGTTAGAAAAGCTTCACTTTGAGTAAAATAATCGCTTTTTTCCCGGTTAACCAGTAACCTGTGGCTGTCCAATGGACTCCTTTCCAGATGTACTGATATTTGATGAGGAAGAATTCTTTAAATAGACACAGATGAGGTTACTTTACTATGAAGTATAAGCCTTCCTCTTTCTATAAAGCAACTCATTTGTTCTTTAAAACACTCGTTATTGTTGTTGTTATATGCCATTGAGTCGACTACAACTCAGAGCAACCCTATGAACAATGGCGCTGAACCCTGTCTACCTGAGCCAACCTCATTGTCTCTTCCACAGCCGAGTTACTGATTATAGAGCCTTCGTGAGAGTTCTCCAGCACCTCCGAGTGGAAGCAGAGGATCTCTAGCGGGCATAACTCAGACTGTGAAACGTTCATACACAGGGAAGAGACGGGCCACATTCTGACAAGGGAGCTCTCAAAAGAGGGGAATCATTTCCTTCCAAGAAGGTTCAAAAACGAAGCTGAAATAAAATAGGAATCTTCATGTCATTAATAAAAAGAGATACCTAAAGGGCATGTTGTAACAGAGCATCATGTCTGCCAAGTCATTGCGTGGTAAGGGACTGACTCACGCCTGACCCTCCAGTGGGCCTTTGGAGGCTGTGAACCATACAGCAGGAAACTGGCCAGCTTTGCCCCTCAGAGCAGCTAGTCAGTTCCTCCAACTGTCAGAGCGGCAGCCTTTAGAATAGCAGCTCAGCTCCCTACACACTAGTTAATATCTGTGAACGTCTATGCAGCAGGCAGGGAGGCAAGGCACACAGATATGGGCAGGTGACAGGGAATGCGCTCACCACCACACTCTGGTGTGGCAGACACTGTTTCTCTCATATTAGTCTATTTATAAATATAGCCATGGATACAGTATAGCTGGCAGGGGCCAAAATGATATAAATGTCTTAATCATACCTTAACCCCCTCTGAGGGACTGAGCTACTGAACTCGGGGACTTAGGGCCACAGCCTCAGGGAACGTCTACGTCACCTGGCGTAATATATTAATAGACTATAATATAGTCGGTAAAGACAACGTGCAACATCCTAATCTGCTGAGCAGTGACTGGAGTCTTAAAAAAGCACAAGAGTGGCCAACAATTAGTCCAAGGAGTTAATTAGTGGATCCTGCTAGACTCAACCTCAACAACTCTGAGATTGGAAGAAATAGATGGTGCCTGGTAACAACTGCTGGGCACTCAGAAAGGAATCCCAGGTTCTGGGCAGAGTGAAAGAAAAACGTAAAAACAAACAAACAAGCAAAACCCCAACAAAACAACAACAAACCAACAAAAAAACCAACCCAGAAAAATGGGCAAGCTTACTGGTCTGACAGACTTATGACTGAGGACTATGGTCCTTGGTCACCTTTGAGCTCAGAACAACACTTATCTTTGTGACTCAGCTTCCCAGAAACCAAACTGGGCTAGAAAGTGAAGCCTTACCACCAGGTATAGGTACACACCACCAGGTGTGGGGTACTCACTCCTTAGAATAGTCAACCAGACAAGGCCAAAGGGGCAGCGTTTGCTGAAAGGAGAATGCTCAGAAGGAAAGAGGAAATCATAGGGAAGAAGTGGGGAGAGTGTGGTTACAATGGAGGAGTATAACAAACGTCATAAAACAAAATGTATATGAGCAATTGAAGGGGAAATCAATCTGATCTTAAACTCTTACTCAAATACAACTTTAAAAAGAAAAAAAGAGAAAGTCTGTGCAGAATCTCTGTTGAAGTCCATGAAGCTGATTTAATCTCTACAGAGTCTTCCAGGCTTTGCCCAGAGTCACAGGACACACACACACACACACACACACACACACACAGAGAGAGAGAGTCACTACCCCATTCCCCAGAACACATCTCAAAGTGCCATACAAGGAACTAACCCCCAGTCACCACTCCAATCACGACACGGTGTAAACCAGATGGCTCCCAGCATCATTAGGTTATATAAGGAAGTCCAATAGCTGAAACTACCCCCTAGAAGAAGGCCCACCCCTCCAAGGCTGCTATGACGGGAAAATTTTCTATTTAGGGAGGTAACCAGCAAGTAGTATTGGGTGGTCTCTTGAACAAAAATTCCCAAGGATTTTCTCCTCTAAAAACAAGCCTTACTCAAAGTACCACTTCCAAAATGGACATGCTGGATAACAGCTCCAAAGGGAGAGATGAAGAACTGTGTTGAATACATCTTAAGCTGAGAAAAAGGAGAATGCAAAGATGGAGAGAGAAAAGGGTCTGAACTGGGATGCTAGGGTACCAAGTCCACTCCTATCACTCACTAGCTGTGGGACTCAGTGTTTACATCTGAAAGATGAAGATACTATGAGTCTCAACTCAACAAATTGTTTTCAGGACTGAACTAAACAGCAGACCACCTGCATCTAATTGCATTCATATTAGTGAATGGCTGAATAAAACATGAACCAAGTAAAGGTTGTTTGTTTTTTTTTTAAGAAAAAACCCCTCCCCTGATACAATGAGCACCTTTTTTTTATGGCTATCATAGATGCTCACAGTCTCTTACCTGTCACAGCTGGAGCACAGAAAGATAAGGAAGGTGATGAGGAAGAAAGTGGCCACAGCGGCCAAGCTGCCCCACAGGACGATCTGCATCTGCCCACTGCTGCTCAGCACGCTCTCCAAGGGCCCCATGGTGACGGTGAGATGCCGCAGCTGGAGGAGTGCTTCAGGCTCTCCAAGGTGTTCACATCGGGAAGAAATGCTTGTCTGCCTGCAAAGAAAGCGAGGCTTTTTAAAAACAATAGTCGGTGTAAAGTTCCCAAAGCTTTTCATTTGATTCCTATGAGGAGAAGGGTCGCTCAGCCAAGCTAGGGCGGCATGGCCACCATCCCCAGAGTGAGCATGGGACAAGATCGGAAACTCCACCTGGACAATGTAGGTCCACCACTGCAGGGGCTACCAAAGGTCAAGTGGGAATGTGCAAGTGACAGCTCAGTGCTTGAAGCAATGCAGACTGAATTACTATTTTAACATATTTTGAGATGGATTTTTTATGAGAGAGTAAAATAAAGAAAAATGACTTGTACTCTACAGCAAATAAACTCACGTGTATTTGGAGTAATATATTAATATACAACTATATATGCATATTATTTAACAAGAGAAATAGAAAATTATTCCACACAGCTTTGTCAAATACGCAATTCATTATCATTTTCTTCATCTCTCCTTTGTGCCTCAACCTCCAAACCTATTTTTTTTTTCAACATGGTTTAAGGTCAATTCAATCAAGGAAACAGAATCTTTGAAGTCATCTGCATAAACATTTATCAAGGATACCTGGTAGTTAAAGGGTTAAACTCTCAGCAGCTAACAGAAAGCCTGGCCTGACTCCCAGCTCTTTTAAAGCCCACTGGTGGTCTGCTTCCATAAATATTACAGCCAAGGAAACATGCTGGGCAGTTAAACTCAGTCACATGGAGACACTATGAACAAAAGCCGGTTTGGAGGCACTTAGCAACCTTTTTTTAAAGTTTGAATAACATGTCTAGAACTCTGGTAGAGTAGTCTGTAGGGAGTTGTGCTGCTAACTCAAAGTCCACACCTCTCTGGTGGTTTGAATCCACCAAAGGGCTCAAAGGGAGAAACAAGGTTAATCTCTTCCTGTGAGATTTAACGCCTTGGGCACCCACTGGAGGATCAACTGTGAATTGGTGCAGACTTGATGGCAATAGACATTTATGGACTTGAACACAGTGGAGATGTTGATGAAGGCACAGGATCAGTCAAGGTGAATAGCATTACTATGAGTCGGGGAGCTGACACCACACACAATACCTAAAAACAATAACAACAGCAACAACAGCAAAACTTTCTATTCAGAAAATGTGACTGTTGACTTTCAAGGCCAATTTCCATTAAGTTTTTATGAACACTCAGTAATGTATGTGTAAATCAAGAATGAGTGAATGTACTCTGAATACATTATTGAAGAGTAAATCCAACTTATTTATAAACAAGTATTAATTAGAAGTGATTTGCCATTTATTATCTATGAGCTATTTGGGATTCCATGACACGCCTTCCATATTTCCCTGTTGTCACCATCCTCAGCCTCCACATCGCTGAGTCAGTCTTGTTTTTTAGTACCCTGTATAACAGAGCAGTACCTCCTCATAGGACTCCCAAGTCTGTAAATCCTTATGGAAGAAGATGTTCTCATGTTTCTATCTTGAGACGACTGGTGAATTTGACCTGCTCACCATTTAGTTACCAGGTGAGCGCTACACCATTGTGCCACCAGAGTTCCTTCCCAGAAAGTAGGTGCTGTTAATCCTATTTGATTAGCAGAAATGAATAAAGGGTCCCTTCTAAGTGCTGCTAAAATTTCCTTATGGGACCTGCCCTGCCAACCGAAAGATAAGCAGTTCGAGCCCACCAGATGCTCTGTGGGAGGAAATGGGCCATCTTATCCTCTGCAATTTACTGCCTCTGAAAATCTGTTGGAGGGTCAGCTATGAGTTGGTTCCAGCTCACCAGTCAGAAAAGAGTGGTGGTCTGAATTCATCCAGAAACGCAGTGGATGGTGATCATCCGTAAAAGATTTTAAACCAGCTGCCCTCAAGTATAGTCATCTTTTCCCTTGGAGTGGCTGATGGATTTGAACTAATGACCTTTTTGTGAGTATTTCATAAACTACCTACTATAGTTCTGTAACAAATGAAGTACCTCAAGTTGAAATGGACTTTATTTTACCCCCCCCCCACACACACACACATACTTTTTAATTATTTTTAAATAAAGAGGTTGAGTAACTTAGTCAAGGTGTCAGAGTTGTGGGCGGTAGAGAGGAGGCAGAACGTGGATGCTGAGTCCAATTATCTCTGATTCAAAGCTCTTTTGTCACTCAGAACGTGGATGCTGAGTCCAATTATCTCTGATTCAAAGCTCTTTTGTCACTTGATTCTCCTCTGACTGGAACTGCATGCTTCTAAGCCAAAACTTTCAAAGTACGTTCACCAAGCATTTTAAAAGTTAAAGATATTTAAAAACTAGACTAGTGTATCAAAACCATTTAACAGGTATTTGTCACTCAAAGAGGATTCTGTTTAATTCTTGCATATTCTCACTTAAAAGGAACAGGCTTTAATCACAAGTTTTAAGAGTCAAGTGTGCCAGTGATGTATTTTTATTACATGATGATGAGTCAAAAGTCAAATGTGTTTTTAAAAAGAATATCAACGTCTCTTTTTTCCTTTGCTTCACAGACTGAGCTGCAATTCTGTTTTCCCTTCACCAAGTGTTGGTGTAACATCACCATGATGCTAATATTTTGGCAAAGCAGAATGCATTGTGACTGCAAGGAACTGCCTTTATTTTTTTATTTTTTTTTTTTTGCAAAGGTGGTGAAATGGGACCACATTTTCTCCAGGTAAACACTAAAACATTTATTTGAAGAACTCAAGTTGAAGAATAATGAAATGCCAAAGAAAAGAAACATTAATCTACAGGTTGTCCAGAGAGAATACCTGAGGGTGAAGCACACTGTTTTCATCAAGTCTTTGAACCAAGACAAACACTTCTTTTTAATGCTCTATCAATTACACCAATGTACGTCTTCCTGTATAATTCAGAACCTCTTTCTATGTTTAACTGTACATTATGACTGTAAACTCCACATTCTTTTCTTTTGGGTAGCTTTACAGTAATTGAGGACTGAAGTACTTTGTCATGTTTGCCCGGGGAGGGTTATATATAACTAAACAAAAATAACTGTCCCTTCTCTGAAAAGTTGTTGATAAAAAAACAATATTTCACTTTGAGACTATAGATTTGCAAATGAAAACACACACACACACACACACACACACACCCCACCCAACAAAAGCCAAACCAAACAAACCCACCAGACTCACTGATGTTGAGTTGAGTTGGAACTGATTCCTAGCTGATCCTCAGAGGAGCGGATTTTTGGAGGCTGTAGATATCTTGGGAGGAGACTGCCCATCTTTCTCTCTTCGAGCCATTGGCAGATTTGAATCACCGGTGTCTATAGATTAACAGTGCAATTTCCCCTTGACTAGACCATCAGAGCTTCCTATTCAAGCAAGTATTTAATTCTACATTCAAGCAAACTCTTAATTCACAGTGACATACAGCCTAGTGGTAATGGAGTGTGTTGCAATCCCAAAGTCACACAGTTCAAATTCACTAACTTCTCTGAGGGAGAAAGATGGCCAATCTCCTCCTGTGCAAATAAACTGCCTCTGAAAACCCACTGGAGAGTCAACTATGAGTTGATTCTGACTCCATAGCACACAACAACAACAACAACATCATGAAAGTATATGAAACAAAAAAACTTTAGTTAATGTTCCAAGCCTAAAAACACATATGGTAGTATACACAATAGTAATCTACCTGTTCTGTATATATCTGCTCATTCATTCACCGAACTGATTCAACCAATGTCTATTTATAAATGCTGGTTTTCAGAACATAATTTTCTGTATGAATTACTCAAAGACCAGTTAGAAATGCAGCAAACCAACAAAGGAGCAAACCTGGCATGGAACCCTTAGCGACTCCTTCCACTTCTCTTTCTCTCTTTCCTTTTTCCCTGAACAGGAGGAAGTCAAGAGAAAAGAATGGAATATGAAGGGTGCCAGTCTTTCTAGGTCAGGGCACGGGGAAATCGGTTGAAAGGGGATTATTATAAACCACTGAATAAAAGATAATTCAGTGAAAAGGTGTCAAAATTCCTGGCTCACTCCCCTTCAACTAAAATTTTGTCTAAAAAGCTACTGGGGGAAAAAAGGTGCCTTTTTTCCAGAAGTCCTCACTACGAACAAAATTCTCACAACGAAAAGAATGATCAGCCGGTACATTTTCCTGAGTTAGATATATTGTCATCTGAGAGCACAAGAGTTCCAATCGCCGAGGCAGCTCTCATCTCCCAAACCTTTAAGCATGACTCTACAGAGGGACTAGCAGAAGGGGCAGTGCCACCACCAGCAACAGCAGCCAATTACTAAAGCACGTCCTGAATGTTCCTCAGGGCTCTGGCAGTGTGCAGGGCTCACCACAGACATGATGCTTGTCGCTGGCAGCACACCTCTAGGGTGGCTATTAGTCTCACTGTGAGGAAAAGCTGTGTGCTAATTACTCCTTTTTTTGGGGGGTCTATTTCTTCTGGGTATTTGCTTTTACAAAAGCTTACTCTTTGACCAGGAAGCTCTGGTGGCGTTGTCCATAGTGAGGTGCACTGCTAACTCAAAAGGTGGCGACGCTTTGGTGGTTCAAATCCACTGGATGCTCGAAGGGAGCGAGATGGGCAATCTCCACTGCAATTTAATGCTTTAGAAACTCAATGGAGGATCAGCTACAAGTTGGTTCCAACTTGATGGCAATGAGTGAGTGATTCTCAAGCCATTTCCTTGCATTTTGGTGGCTAATCTAGAATTCATCTCTGGTGGACTAGTGGGAGTTGTGCTACCAACCCCAGTACAGGGGGTTTGAATCCACCACCTGCTTCATGTCAGGTTATACTTTTATTGTCTGGAAGGTTCATTTCTACTAATTCTTTGAGTTACTGTTACTCCTCATTTCTTGATTATTTTTATCTGATATTTTGTAAATATGCCAAAAATCTCCATTTTTGCATAGTGCTGGTTTTTTAATAATAATCTGGT